TTTTTTTAGAAGGAAAAACAAGGTACATACATACAAAATTGTCACGGGAAGGGACGGGAGAGGGGGGGGAGGTTAAGATTTTTTTTTTTTTGCAAGAACATGTTTATGAATCAGTCAAAAAACTAGGTTTCTGAATGTTACGTGTGGAATTGTTTGAAATTATTACACAGGTAAATTGTATAAAAAGAATAAAATTAAAAATAAAACAAACCCGGTTCTCTCAAACGAAGGGGCGTGCCCACCCCCCCCCCCCCAATTTTATAATTAAATTACATTCTATACTTATAAACAGTGTAATGAACTTGTAACATGTATTTTGCAATATGCACCACTAAATATACATAAAGGCAGTGGATTTTATTCATTTTACATAATACACTGAAAACAATAAAGCCCACTTATATGATCTTAATACCATCGGGTGTACGAGATATTGATATTTACAGCAACAATGACTAGTTTTGTTGGACAGCTTACCTTGAAAAAAATAATCTATCATATTTTCTTTTTCTGGATTTCAGAACGTATTTCAGAAGGAACATGCAACAATTTATTTGTTAGAAATTTTACAAACATTTTTATTCTTATTTTAAATAAGTAGGCCTAGATCGATTGAATTTACTTGAACAAAAAAAAAAAAAAAAAAACAATTTACCTTTCTCGTCCACATAATCTCAGGATCTCTTCACAATTATAAATTGTAATATATCTTTCAAATTACCTTTTCTAAGGAATTATGAAGTTCTAAAAAATATTATCAACAGCAAGTCAGCAACTTAAAAAAAGTTGAAAAAAAGTATTTTTTACACGATCTATTGTGACGTCATCAATGAATCTATTGCGTAATATTTACATTTCCAATGTCTTTGTCCGAGATAAAATTACCAATTGTAAATGGGTTCATTCTACCTATTCCCACTTTTTGAAAATCATGTAGAAAAAGGTAAGATTTTATGTGGGAATAGGTGGAATTCTGTGTAAACAAATAATTAACTATGTTCTTAAATTTCAAAAATCCGAAATAAATCATATTTTCTCATAGATGTATTCATTATTTTCTGTCTTAAAATGTACAAAATACAGGTAAATCTTAACATCTATTGTTATTTGCAAGTGGGAATAGGTGGAATTGAGATTTCTAAAAACTGGGAATAGCTAGAAGACACCTGTAAATGTAATTGATTTCCTCATGAATGTTTTGGCGCGGTTCCAAAAAAAAAAATCACGTGCAAGTCGGGACAACACCTAGAGAGAAGCAGGCTTGGAGCCCGTGGATTGGCGGAATCAAAGCATGTAAATATAAGGAATAACTGTCAGATTTTTTCGAATTCATGAAGATGATCAATGGATTGGCTTGTGTGATAATTTTATGCATAAACGCCTTCGGCGTTTATGCAAATTATCACACAAGCCAATCCATTGATCACTTCATGAATTCGAAAAATAAGACAGTTATTCCTTAAATATTCATTAACATTTCCAGGCGAGAATCAAACAATTATATCAGTTGCAAAACAAACATAAAAAGTGCTAAAAATCTTGATTATTTAAATATTTTCTTATTTGCGTACTATTACAATCTTTCTCTGTTACATTTTTTTTTTTGGGGGGGGGGGGGGTCAGATGAACACTTTAACTTCAATCTTTAAGCATGCTGATCTAACGTTATCCCTATCGATAGTTTTCACCTGAAGGGTGGATAAAATATATTGTCTACCTAATTTATTGTTCAGTCTATGTTCTTAATGATAATGATTAGACTTATTTACTTATTTTGTAACTTTCTAAAAAAAAAAATTAACAGCAATTACGGTGCCTTTATTGAAAAATGATTTCACATTAGATTTCTCAACTTGAAATCCGGGATAACAAAGAAGGCATATAAACTCAATTTCAACATTGGCCGCAGCAAACGCGATTCACAAGATGTTGTTAAATCGAAACATTTTTGCGTTATAAAAAATATATGTAAGTTTCATGAATCGCGTTCATTGCGGCCAAAGTGAATTTTGCGATCAAAGATATAAAAAATGCCATTTTTAGAGAATATATTGAAACATGGTATGGTTTTGAGATTTACGTAGCGTTTGTGTGACGTTTTGGCGCCATTTTACATCCGTGATCAGATAGACCTGATCGTGTACAAAATATATCAACACTTTATTTCTGAAGGTATCATTGTTTATTTTTGACGAATTTACTAGGCCGAAAGTGGTAACAACCGTATTTTCTTCTTACTATGATTTCTATTTTCTTAACAAATTGAAGTCTTAAAATTTTTGCTTTGCACTTGACCTTAGATAGAATGTTCTATCGTTAAAATTATATTGTCCTACGGACCCGTGTGGTGAGGGCCTGTACCGAGACACAGTTAGATTATTCTAACTAACTTGACCTGTGATTTCACGGCAATGCATAAAGATAAAAAACTATTTTGAAATAATGTGAAGAAACTACAACAAATTCTGCATTTTATGGTGTTTTAGATATTAAATATAAACAACAAATGACACTGCAATAATATTTTAGAAAAATGTGTTTTTCAATGAAATATATAGTGGAAAAATAAAATTATGACTCACTTATGGCCAAGTACTGTACATGCAGTGTACATTGGCACTGCCTCTAATCTGAGATTCCTCTTTTTTCCCGCTTTTATATCATGACTTGTCCGCACAAGTCATAATATAAAAGTGGGGGTTAGAGTCAGAGGAATCTCGGATTACACTGCCTCATGCACTGAATAAGATTAAAGATTGTATTTCCACGTACGATTTTGATTAATTATTAATCTGAGTCTTGTTTTGGATATTTTTTATGTCCAGTAGCATATAGGCCTAAAAATGATATATATATGAATCAATAACTGATATGGTTATCACCGCACATCATCAGGGCACCCTGTAGCTGCAGATCTGTAGCTAGTATAGCGTTATGGTTTTATATATTTGTCTTGGACCATAACAGTCAAAGACATATATATATAAAACCATAACGCTACAGATCTGCAGCTAGGGCACCCTGTTAAGATGGGGGAAAAAGTTACACCACCACAATACACTACAATGTATTTTGCTACACGTGTATAATAAAGAGAAGACTAGAGTAAAAACAATATTTTATTAATATTTATATTATAAAGCTGGAACAACAAATTACCAAACCAAGTTCTTTGATTGAGTGTCACTAAAATATATTAACTAAAACAAATATTGAATGATGTTGACTGTTGAGGGCAACTTTATTTTTATGATTAGTCTCCAAGGGTTGAAATATTGTCCAACGTGGAGCGAAGGACAATATTTTCATCCGACCGAGGCTAACATAATCTGAATGTCACCCGAAAACAGTCAATACCGGTTGAAATGTACCCGGTACTATGCAAAACAAATCAAAAGAATATATTAGTATTTTGTTTAGCAAATCTTGTTTTTTTTATATTGTGACGTGATGTTTTTTGCAAGTTGCGGCTGTTTCATTTTGTCACAATAAATGAATGCAAATCAATAAAAATTTGAGAAATGACCGTTGATATGTTTTGATGCCAAAATCAGAAAAAAGTCATTTAAATATTGATATTGTTTAAAGTAATATATGTTCACTCAGAGATTACAAACATTAATTTAAGGAGCTTATTTCTAAATGACTATTTTGTTGACTGTTTTTCTAAATAGAGAATATAAGGACTATAATCCAATCCACACTTTGCAATAGTTATGTCCCTTTGATGGGTCAACCAAAAGGTCAAATGGGAAAGAAATGACATTTCTCCTCTTTATGCTACAGAATATTTTGGGCATGGTAGGATAAATCATCTGTGTTTTAATTTTTCTTTTGATACGTGTTGGCTGATCTTGGGGCAATGGATTATAGAAGATGCACATATTTTTTCCATTAAGATGACAAATTTACAAATCAGAAAACTATAAAGGGTACTGTGAGGATTCTTTGGGTTTTTCCTCAAAGATGGCAGCCAAGGGACATAACTTTTGAAAAGTGTGAATTCAACTTTTCTTTAATGAAAAAAAATATATGATTTGACGAGTTTTTCAAACTATTTATTTTCAATGTTTTTTTCTATTTTTAATTATTATTTTAAATTTTATTATCTTTTTTTTTTTTATAATTCTTAAAATTATAAATTGTATTTTGCACATAAAGTATGTGGAAAAGTTCATCATTCAAAAGACATGATTGATGCCATTGACATTTCAAATAGACTGAGGATAAATGTCTATTTTTGTATCCGACTTCAACTGAAATAAAGTGCCACGCCACAGCATGATACGCCCGTCAAAAAATTACAATGTATCTTAAACAGTTAAAAGTGCAGGAAAATCATGTCAACCTTGATTTTAAGATTTCAATGATTTTTACACACCTTAAAAAATTTGTTTATCCATCTCCTGTGGTGTAGGCATTAATTATAACAAATATTGCATCATTCACAGATTTCTACATCTTGCCAAATGCCTTTCATATTAAACAATATCAAATTAGTCTTCACAACTTAATCTATACCTAATCAATTTTGGAAATAAAAGGCTGGCCATCAAATATAAACTGACCAACAGTTCTTTTGTCTAATTCCCGAAGGAGACAGATAAAACCATGCTCTGAAGATTCTAAGTCTAATAGTTTTCTAGTTATGGACCGGACAGGATTTTTCCATATTTGGCTATAACTTTTTAAATATAGGTCAGAGCGACCTACCCCCCGGTACTTTTAGTGCGCGACACACTTTCTACCCAAGATGTTTCAGCTGACAAAGTTTGATAATTCTAGGCCTTATAGTATTATAGTTACCGGGTATGAGCCGGACACGAGAAAAGCTAACAGACGGACGGACAGCTGGACAGACAGACGGACACGAAGCCTATAACATAATACGTCCCGTCTTAAGACGGGCGTATAAAAAGTCTTCTGAAATAGAATCCATAATTCCTTTAGAATAATGCACTAATAGTTTTTCATTCAAATCTTTTATCCATAATTCCACATGGAGTTTGTTGACAATGCCACAGTTTCAGCAATACTGGGATAGGAAATTATACTGTGTCCAGTGATTTTCTTCCATTTATTTTCAAACCTGTAGTTTTGTCTGCCTGTTTCGTGATTGTCCTTTATGGAACAAAATATTGGTTCAAATGGGCTACTCGCTCATTGCTGATATGATGTTCTGGCTCACTGTAAGAAATAAAAAAATGATGTCAAAAATAGTATTTTTAATTATGGAAATTGTTATGCTTGGTAAATGGTAATATTATAAAAAAATTATTATTCATATTTTTAATGAAAGATTACCTATAAACTGGAGTTGGTTGGAAAAACAGAAACATTTTTTTACTTAATTAACAACACCCTGTACAGACTAACACATTGACAAGTATAAAATATATAAACATAACATTTTACCTTAATGATAGCGGATGATCCATAAGTTAGGACACCGCATGAGAGGGCTGCAGTGGTACACCATATTATAGACTGGCCTTTAGAGCATCTGTCAGCTCCATCCCTATACATGTAGTTCCAAGTCTTCTCAAGTCTCCATTTAGCAGATATAAAATGTTCTATATTCTCCTTTATCTTGACTTCATGTGTCCACAATAACAGGAATACCTATATTCAAAAAATATACATGTTTGTACATCTGAGGAGCATTCATTGATTTGTCATGTTTATTTTTACATGTACATGAAATTTTTATGTGCCTGGATTGATAGATATGAGGCATATATTGTTTTTGTCCTGTCTGTTTGTTTGTCTGTCTGTCTGTTGTCAACTTTAACCTTTGCCATAACTTTTGAACCATGAGAGAAAGAGACTTCATATTTGGTATGCATACTCCACAAATGAAGCTCTTTCAAATGATACCAAGGTCATGACCTTGTGATCTTGACTTTGACCTATATGCTAAAAATATTTTTTGTTACCTTTGTTGCCACTGGGCGCATAGTTTTTTTTTTTTCACAAACACATCTTGTTGGAATATTGGGCATTCTTTAATCTGCATTAATATTTCATTAAATACTAAATAATTGTTTATGTGCAAAACATTTTGAGCTATATTAACTAGTCTAATGAATAATAGCATGACTATTTCCAAATTCAAGTATTGTCTGCATAATTATGGACCTTTGCAAAAAGTATTGACTTTTACATTTGATGGTTGACTTTGACATTTAAACCTAGGCTGTCCTTAAAAAATTGTTTGTTTGGAATTGCTGCCTCAGGGGTTTCAGACACAGGTGGGAGGGAGGTAAAAAAAAATTTTTAATTGAAGATAAATTTTAATTTTTTGATAAAAATCTCAGTAAACAATAAATACATTTTCTGACTTTTAAAAAAAATATATCTACCATCAACAAAAAAAATACCTATTTTTACATATATCTGACACTATATTTCAGTGTTTTGTATGGTGTATGTGATACATGTAACGGGCAAAAAAAAATTGATTAAATAAAAACAAAAATCTTTCTACTTTTGGTCAGTAAAATTTTTTCAGGAGGGGGCATTTCAATGAGGTGGGAGGCAATTCCAAACAAACTATAATTTTATTTTGGCCCTATGTCATGTACTGATGTATAGAATTGATAAAAGATAAGGAAACATTACTAGTGCAGTAGTGGTTATAGATAGTGTTTGGGGCACTAACATGTGAATGGTGGTATTTGAGGGTAGAGTGGTTGTCCGATTCTCTATGTGCTTTAATTTCTGCCGATTATTTTTGTACAATAATAAATGTTGACCTAAATATTTTTATTTCAAAACAGCTTCTGTACATTGTCAGATTTTTTATAGTGTAAAAGTAAGCTGTCAAGTGTAAAAGTCAGCAGTCCTCACAAATCCATAGTATATTAATATCACAGGAAATTGAGACAGTCTTAGCTCCCCTATTAATGCTACTATACTGTATACCCGATTTTGCCAAGACTGCATAAGTCCCTGTGGTAAATATGTACCTATTTCAGCTATCACGTGACAGATAAACCTACTGTATGTGTACATAAAAATGCAGATTTCATATTTTAGCGGCTTAGGCACAAAATTTAATGCAGTAATTTATGCAGAAGAATTTTAGATGTGAAGAATATGTGCATTACTTTTGTTGTAGTGTAGACTAGTGATCGAAATATTGAACTGTAAGTTGATGGGAAAAATTCCATAGAGTGTTCAACACCTTGCATGATGTTGCATCTCAGGTTAATTGTTTGGGTAATACATGGATAACAGTGTCTCAAATGATCAGGGCTCGACATTAACGCTTGTCCGCTTGTCCGGTACCAATGAAAAAAAATTTCGGACAAGTGAATATTGCTGGGCACTTGTCCGATTGGACAAGTGATTTTTCTATGTAAAGAAGTCTTCAAATAATAATAATCATAAAAAACAACTTATGTTAAATTTATCGAATACAAATGGAAGCAGTACATAAACCTGAATTTTGATCCCGATATGAATCGCTATGTAAGTTCACACTTGATCGGGATGGATGTTCATTAATTGCAGCCATACTATTGCATGGCGTGGATCTTATGACGTTTGTGAGTTTAAAATATATTTGATTGATTTTACAGATTTACTTGCGAACATTTATGCTGTTGTCAGGACAGGAAATCAAGATAAAATTTTGTTTTATATGTGTTTGTCTTATTTATCAATAACAACACTTATAAATAAATTATAAAGCACATTTAATTTTTTAATTGTTTTCAAGTTGACATAACAAGACATTCATTGAAAAAATTTCGGACAAGTGAAGTTGAAGTTCAGACAAGTAAATATCTTGGTCACTTGTCCGAATGGACATGTAGGAAAAAAAGTTAATGTCGAGCCCTGATGATATATCTATATTTAGACATGATTGAGTACAACTGGATTATGTCATGTGAAGATCAATGGATAGTGATACACGTATATACACCACTGTGGAATTGTATTAATTGTGTGATTATAGTTATATAATCCAAGATTCCTCTGACTCTAATCCCTGATTTTACATTATGACTCTTGCAGGTTACAATGTAAAAGCAAGGGTTAGAGTCGGAGGAATCTCGGATTAATAGTCATAGTGCCCTTTAACCCAGCTTGAATATTTATATTGTAAAGAATTGCTATGAAAAAATAATAGGTTGAATTTAGAGACAAACCTGGGCAGATCAGACGAGAGTTGTCGTGGGCATGGTAGGATGGGGTGATCATGGTGATGCGATTGTGATTCCTTCATTCGAGTGATCGTTGGCAGAGTAAATTCAGTATGGCACAGTTCACTATCGCCTTCTTTGGGTCAAAGAAACATTGTTGTACCGCTAGATAGATTTGATAGACGAAAACCCAAGCTTTTTCCGCATTTCATGCTTTCCATGTTTCCGAAACATCCACTTTGTCGATCTCCACTTTGTTGACATTGCCGAAAACGGCGATAAGCAAATAAGTCGTAAAAATATACACTGAGTTGTGCTGTGGTTCGATTTTAATGACATTTTAGTCACAATTTATATTATTTCATATCAAGTATATCTATACAATAAGTTTTACGGTAAAATTTAATCAAAAAATCATCGAAAGATTTTAACGACATACACGAACGTAAAATTCATTTACGTCACTTGGAGTTGCGCGGTGGATTCAAAATCGTCAGTTCCATACTCCCTTAAATAATTCTTTATGTGGACTTTTACTGACTTGATATATTATCATAGTCTATAGGTAATTCATTATAAATTTTAAATCGAAATCGAAAACTTCGTTCAAAATAATTGTTAGGGTTCCATTCAGGGTGCCTTTTTTTATGCTCTTGTTAAAATTACAGACAGTGACAAATCCCAAAACCCTTTTTTATTTCTTCAGTCACATGCATTACCATTTTTTCGAAACTTGCAGAACTTTTCAATTATAAATAAAATAGAAATGAGGTCTAGTAGAAAAGGATTATCACTTGAGAAAAAAATTATAAAAGGATTATCACTTGAGAAAAAATTTATAACACGTTTTTAATATATATTTTTTGGACAAAAAGAATTTGGAGCTTTAAGCACATTTAACTTAATTTATTTGTTCTCGAGTTGTTTTTTTTTATTAATAAATATTGTTGAAATATTAGAATATCGCTTAATTTTCTATTGAACAATGCAATAGCCCATTGTATAGATGGAAAACATTTTAATTTTTAAAATACATGTAATAAAATTTAACTGATCACATCTTGTTATTTTAAATATTTTGGCTGATATACCGTGAAATACTGCCATGGGACTCGGCATTAAAATAATCAGTCTTAAATTTGCCATATATATCTAAACCTTGCTAGCCGAGGATTTCCGATCAAAAATCTACTCTAGTGCATGGTGGAGATGTGAAGCATATCGGAACCCCATTGGCTATAGCGAAGATTGCAGAATCTTTACCTACAGGTACATGTGGGCTACTAAAAAATCAGCACGTTTAACAATAAAAAAAACTTGGGAGTGTTGGGGCTGTAGGCGACTTTGCAATAAATTAATAAAAAAGAAAAAAAAAACATCGAAAAGAAGTTTTTCTTTGTAATGGAATTTTTACACATTTTTAAAAACAATAGAATAGTTAAACAAACGAGTCCAAGAACTCCTCGGACGGAGCGATCATTAGTAGACATTTTCCCGATGTTGTCCTATAACAATTCCGATTATTTGTGGAGCAAATATGACAGTACTATTTAAAATGTTTCTATGAAAATGCATTAATTGTAGCTGCATTTATTGAGATATATAGAAAGCATTGACATCAGATTTCGTTGACACGATGAACTTTATGAACATGCAGGGTCGATGTACACGAAAACCTGTCCACTTTAATTAAGAAAATTCATTCAAACTTGCAGAAAAAAGTCTAATTAATAACATGATAAACAATGAAATTAATCAATTACTCAGGATCTATCAGGAGTAAATGCGTAGCACAGGGGCCGGTAACATACTGTATTTGATTTTACGTAATCACTATATGTATACATAAAGAGTCTTTTTTTGTATATATATATAGTGATTACGTTAAATCAAATTCAGTATGTTACAGGCCCCTGTGATGCGTAGTGGATATACAAATTTTTCACTATATATACATTTGCGATAGCCCATGATATTACTATAGTATTAAGAAATGCTAGTTAACGACAGAAAAAAATTAATTGATTGTGTTTCTTAAAGATATACACTTCTGACCGAAATAAATGTTCATGAATATAGATCAGACAGGAGAAGAAAAAGACTATTTCAATATTTTGACTGTATTCTTTTTTCCGATTATTTATATTCTACTTTTAATTTCCGACATTACATAGTTTACTGACAATTTATAGTTTTATTTTCCGATATTTATTGAAGGGTACATTTCAGGAAATAAAACTGTGTCGGAAGACTTTCTTAATTGAAAATTTAAATTATTATCTTTGAACAATACCGGCAAATCATTGACATAAAAAGCTTTATTTTCTTAAAAAAACAGTTTCATGTTTGTCGGACATCACTGACATAATATAGTACAAGTGATGCTGATATTCTTTTTCATTGATCGATTTTTCATAAACTTGGTAGACAAGATCCGAAACGCTAAGCATTCCTGTGGAAAAATGACATGCTAAATATATTTTATAATCAGTCCCTTTATTTAACAAGCTAGCTGTTGATCGAAGAAAAAATGCCGGAAATACTAAATGTAACTAGTGCTAATTGTAACGGGGACCGTTACAGATGTTCCCCAAACGCTCCCCACCTCCCTTTTGGTGCCATATTCCCTGTAATCTCTATTAAATAAGAATTACTTTATGGAATTTAGACTTAATGAAAGTCTTCCAGAAAAATACAAAATATATTTAAAAATAGGCATTGCACGCGTCTTCATTTGCGTAACGACCATATTATCTTGTCTACACTATCTAAAATTTTAATATACTTAATAATATCAAAGCATTTAATCCATAAGTATTAAAAAATACACTCATTCGAATGTAATTTAATTTTACTCATTTTCCGTGCACGCACATGCAAGCACGTGCATAATGACTACACTTTCTTCTAGGAGTCCCCTATATTTATCTATGTTCTAAATCCCATCCTGTTTCGTTGAAAAACAAAGGAGTTATAGCCATTTGAATTTTCAGCCAATCAGACTGCAGCACACATACATGCGTGTGATTTCATAAATTTTTATCTTTATCGTATTGAAGGGTATCTAAATGAATGATATATTTTAAAATTCCAAACATTTCGTAAAAAAAACAAAGGAGATATAGCCATATAAAGTTTAAGCCAATCAGATTGCAGCACACGTGCATGCGCGTGATTTCATGAATTTTTTCCTATATCATATTTTAGGATATCCCAATGCATGACTATGTTTCAAATTTCAATGCATTTCGTCAAAAAACAAAGAAGATATAGCCATTTAAAGTTTCAGCCAATCAGCTTGCAGCACGCGCGATGCGCATGTTTTCCTGAAAATTCTTATATATCATGCTGTAGATCTTCATAGTGTAGGACTATGTTCAAAATTTCAAAGGATTATGACGAGAAACAAGAAAGATATTGAGACTTTAGTTTCAGCCAATCAGAGCGAAGCGCACGTGCATGCGCGTGAGATCTTGCTATTTTGACCATGCCATCTTGTCTATACTACTAATGTATCCTTACATTATGAGTTTCAAAAAATTTCATCAAAAAATAGAAACGTTACGGCAATATCCATTATATTGGTCATTTCACGTGTTGCACGTGCGCGCTCTTGCAAGCACGTGCGCGCAAAATGACCTTCGTTCGGCAAGTCTACATAACATGCCTACTGACCCTAAAAAGGTTTCACCTAAGTCGGATGTGTAGTTTACAAGATCACTCGTGGACAAAATTTTCCCAGGAAGAAGAAAAATAATAATAACTAGATACGATCTCGTTGCGAGCAACGAGTGGGTCTTCCGTCCAATTCTTGATGAGATAAGAAAAGATTTTGATTGCGATTTTCATTCTAAAATAATGATTTACCACAATCTGTTAAAAGATATTGAACATTAAAGACTTTAAAAAACTGGCCTTTTGCCCCTTACGCCCCCTAATCTTAGGAATCAGTCCTTTTTATTCAAATCATCTTAAAGCTCTTAAGATTTTGAACATTTTGTGTTCAACAACTATTCAGAAATTCTTTTTCGTTTTTGAGATATTAGGAAAAGAAATATTTAGGGGCCAAACCTTCAACTCCTTAATGGGGACGTTAAGCAAAAAATAAAAGGTTGCATATTGTTCAGAACATTATTTCAAACATCTTTTGTTCAATATTGCTTATCAAAATATTTCTCCCTCTGGAGATATAAAGCATCAAAGATTTTGCATTCTTGCCCCTTGTGGCCCCTAATTATGTACCATGCGACATGAAAATCATCATATATAGTTGTAGATGGTTGAGATAAACATCTTTGCTTCAGTAATGTATTACAAAATATTAACTGATAAAGAGTTATCGATTGAAGACTCTTGGCCCCTAATTTGAGTGCCCAGCCCCTTTTTCGGGATCTCATCTTAAAGATCTTAAGATTTTGAACATTTAGTGTTCAACAACTGTTCAGAAATTCTTTTTCGTTTTTGAGCTTTTAGCAAAAGAAATATTTAGGGGCCAACCCTTCAACTCCTTAATGGGGACGTTTAGCAAAAAATGAAAGGTTGCATACTGTTCAGAACATTATTTTGAACAACTTTTGTCCAATATTGCTTATCAAAATATTTCTCCCTTTCGAGATATAAAGCATCAAAGATTTAGCAATCTGTCCCCTTGTGGCCACTAATTATGTACCATGCGACATGAAAATCATAATATATAGTTGTAGATGGTTGAGATAAACATCTTTGCTTCAGTAATGTATTACAAAATATTAACTGATAAAGAGTTATCGATTGAAGACTTTTGGCCCCTCTTGGCCCCTAATTCGAGTGCCCAGCTCCTTTTTCTTAATCTCATCTTAAAGATTTTAAGAGTTTGAACATTTTGTGTTCAACAACTGTTCAGAAATTCTTTTTCCTTTTTGAGCTATTAGCAAAAGAAATTTTTAGGGGCCAACCCTTCAAATCCCTAATGGGGACGTTTAGCAAAAAATGAAAGGTTGCATACTGTTTAGAACATTATTTTGAACAACTTTTGTTCAATATTGCTTATCAAAATATTTCTCCCTTTTGAGATATAAAGCATCAAAG